GGTAACGGCCGAGGGAAGGCGGTTGTGGATGGACCTTGAGTTTCCTGAGTAATTTTGTCAGTGTTATGCGTCTCTCTTAAACGCCCTCGGCAGTGAGAATTAGTGGCCTAAAGCGATGTAGAAACGTCCCGGAAAGTTTTGGCTAAAGGGTGGTTGTGCTTTCAGGTGAAGGAAAAGCTTACCTTTTGAGGCCTTGGTTGTACCCAGTTTGAAATTACCCGGAGTAAAAAGCTGAGAATGAAGTTTACAAACCTGGAATGGGTTAGCCTGGCCTTAACTCTTACAACGGTGTCAGTCAAAACAAATGGCAGTACGTTATTGTTGGTGGTCTTCTTGTTTTTTAATGTTTTGTAAGCTGCGTTGAAAAGTGACTCATCGTCGCTCGTATTCTACTGTTAAAGTTTGAGTTTAAAGGATTCTCACGTCTCCTGTAGGGTGGCGAGGTGAACGCTGAAGTGAGCCCTTTAGGTCCAAGCTTCCAGCCTTCCCCTGCAACAGTCGGTTTGATTCTGGCTTGTATATCTCCATCTACTGGTGGAAAGGAGTCCTTGAGATGCTCACGCCTTCCTGTTAGGCTACTGTAAACTCTGTGGAGATATAAGCATCATTTTAGTCTCTTGATAGCATAAAGGGGATAGCTTTTCCTTTGTGAAAAGGAAAGCATACGTTTCCTGCAAGAATTCAAGTAACAAAAATGTGGAGTGTCTGCTGCTTTCAGTAGTATTTTCAGCGGAATGGTACTTAATTATGTAACTCTTGAAATAAATGTCCCAGTTATCAAGAAAACAATATTAAATTGTATCAATGAAGTTATTATTTTTGACCTGTGAAGTTGCCTGGTTTATGTTTTTACTTTTTATATGTATGTAATTTTTTTTTTTTTTCAGAAACAGGTGCAGCCATGCAAGAAAGCATACGTTTTGCTTCATCAGGAGATGATGTTAAAATATGGGATTCCTCATCTCTAACTGTGTTGGAGCAGTTCAACCCACATACACCCCCACATCCAGTCAGCTCACTGTGTTGGGCCAGCAACAGTATCCTTTGCAGTTTCAGCCATAGTTTTATGGGTGCTCTGCAAAATTTCAGCAAATTCTTTTTATTGAAGTGTCTGTAAGTCACAGGTCTGATGCAGTTTTGAGGTCTTGTGTAAAAAGATTTGTATATATTGTGAAGAAAATTTTGTGGTTCTCTGTGTTGAAGTGATTTACAAAATAAACTCACGCTGGTAAATGCTTCTGAAGAACTTTCTCTTCCTTTAGGAGGCTAACGCTTTTTTAATGGTTATGATATGCTTGGATTGCCTACCAACTGTAAAGCTTGCTCATTTGTTTCTTCAGTAGTTGATTACAATATTCTCTTTCAAGGCAGTGCTTAATTTACTGACAAGGTTGAACGAAGCAATTGCTAATGTAGTAAAATTCTATACATAGTGTAGAGAGGAAAATTGTCATGAAAGATGTCGTCGTTTGTTATTCTTGCTCAGCTTCTTGTTGGTTCTGATAGTCTTTCATAGTTTAAACTTCCCTCTTACTCTGTAGGCACTGGTTTTCTGTGCAGTGTTTGTAGCATTTACAGAGGAAGCAGAAATGTTTTGGATGTGTAGGAAAACATTCATAGGATGGTGGGGATTTATGCATGAAAATGGATCTGGCCTATTTAGACCTTTCACCTCTGTCATGGAAGCCTGTTATAGGATAATGATATGAGGTGCCAGGTTTTCGGTGAGACAGTTCATGAAAACAGTGTACTGTCAGGTGAGCAGCTTGTATGGCTGTCAGAGGAGAAGGCGGCGATGTCTGATCTTGATGTAAAAGAAGCACGGGATGCTGGCACATAACAGTTATGTCCTGCAAGTTCTGAATGTGGCTGTCCTCAAAGTCTGCAAAGAAGTGGAATCCTGAGAAAAAAGTTAAAGTATTCAGAGCACAAATGAATGTGTTAGCTGTGGAGCTTGCAGAGAAATTGAAGCATAGGTATATATGTATATATTGTATAGATATGTGCTGTTTAGTAAACTTTAGCTATAGACAGGCTGTCTTGCCATGTCTTGCTTCCCTCCCCAGTCTCCTCTTCATCTCCAAAAGTTGAAACACTGAGGTGTTTTACTTTATATGCTTTTGAATGTTTGTTAATTTGTTAGGGGTAAAGCATTTGGTTTTGTTTTGCATAATTCTGTAAGCTAAAATGATGCCTTAAAATAATGAAAGAAATAGCAAGCACTAATCTTCCTACCAGTTTTTTGGTGTTAAATCCATCCAATTAGCCTGTATTCTTAAATAACCAATTATAAAATCACAGTGGGCATTGACCTGAAGACATACAGGACATGGATCTGAATGATTACTGGATTAGTTTGGTGGTGGTGCAGAGGCAGGTTCCCTGCTCTGTAGTTCTATATTGAAGGCTTTTCTTTCAACTTTGTGGTACTTGGTGTCATTAGAGGTTCTTTTTGGATTTTTGTTTTTCTTCCCTCAGTATAGAGGGAGACAAATTAGCAAACATTCATTGCACTCGAGAAACCATATAGTGAAGTAGTTTAACATTTGCCATGAACAGGACTGTTCTTTAAATCTGCTAACAGCCACAAACATTCTTTTGAACTCAAGTGAGAGCCCCCATTTATTGCTAAGGGGATGTGGGGAAACAAAATTGTAGGCCGGATAAGCTGCATTAGCAGTAAAGAGCTCTTAAATAATATGTGCCAGATATTTCTTCTCTTCTCTCTGAAAGAAATCGATCTGTGTTGTATTGGGAAGTAGAGGCTATAGTTAATGCAAGAGCTTCTTAATGAAGGCTTGGAAAATAGCCTTATGTTTCTATTTCTAGGTCCCTTCAAGGTATAGTACTTCAGACTGTTTAACCAATCTGTCTTCTGTTCAGTAAGGGAAACCTACTGTTGCTTTTATTAATCACCAGTATATTACAATTATGGTCCATAACTTGTGACTAAGATAGATACCTAGCCACTGCCTCTGCTGCTGGTGATAAAATAGTTGTTTCAAGCTGTAAAAGCAAACCTGTTCCACTCTTTGAAATAGCTGAAGGAGTAAGTATGATCAGTGCTGTTCCCCGGTTTGGTTGGTTTGGTTTTTTTTTCCCCCCTATTCACCTTGTGTACTGTTTTTGTCACGCTTGTTCAGCATATTGGGATCAATTTAATTTTAGTATTGGTAGACTTAAGACACGTATGTTAAAACATTTCCTTGGGTATAGTTAAATACACATAAAGAGTGGGGGGAATAGTGCTTCTAAAATAGCTCTACCAGTAAGAAAATACAAATTCGGCTGATAGCTTTCTGGTAGGGAAATGTGCCTCTTGAGCCTCAGTGGGATAGCCCGAGGCAGTCAGTGGTTCAAACTTGATCTAATGCGTAGGCAATGGAACAGAGCTTAAGTTTGAACTTCACTTTCCAACTTGAATTGTTAGTATTACGCATGCCTGTGAATTGTACATAGAAAAACATGAGTCTACATACAGGTTATTCTTAGAGTGTACATGTGCTAGCTTCTGGAAATACATGAAATAGGAGAACTTCTGTTATGGTTGGGTGTTTTTTGTTTTTTTTTTTTTTCCTATTAAATGGAAGTGTGGCACTATAAACTCTTCAAAAAGCTGGACTTAGTTTTAGAAGAGTCTCTTGACATGGTTACTTGAATGACTCGTTAGTGTTCTAAACCATTCTAATTATTCTTCTTGGGTAGCTATTGTAATGCTAATTTGGACTGGAAATTTTCTGACAAAGGTGTTCAAACTGGGCTTTTAGGTTGCTGAAGCAAACACTGTCAAAGGTGGAGTGTTTGTCCTGGAGATTTCACTAAATCTGGTCTATAACTAATGCAATCATTTCCGATTTTACCATGTCAATAATTAGGTGGACTTGTTTTTTCTAATTCAAATCTCAGGAACTTAAAAGTGAATTTTCAACATGATAGAACTGAATAATAATTTGTCCTCGATGTAGGTCTATCATTAAGATTGACATTTTTTTCAAAAGCTGTACTTCAATGATTATTTTAAAAAGAATCACTTTACCGAATTATGAGGTTTGCTGCTATAATATTCTTTGTAATGTTTAGGGAATGTGAAGTATATGACTTAGGCAACTTCTTGATTTTCTTTTAAGGAGTTTTATTCTAAACTTAGCTTTTTCTTTTTTAAAACTCAGTACCTGAATAAAAGTCTACAATTGCACTTTATGGAGCTATAATTTAAAGGGAAAATGCATATTGAAGGAAAAGATACTAAAAAAAATTGAAATGGGAAAATGTGAGCAATTGAGAGTCTATTAATTATGTATTTAGATCTTAAAGTATATTAAACATATGTCCTGTCTGGACTGGACTTCAAATGCCTTTTGATGGGAAATGACTGTAGGGTACTAATACTTCTACCAGTCAGTGGGACTATTGTGTTAATGAAAATGAAAACACACATCAGTATGCTTTTAAGTAGATTTGAATAAATCCCTTAATTATCTTTAACATACTTTTTTTTTTTTTTTTTTCCTTTCTCCGTCAGGGAAAACAGACATGTGTGAGCTTGAATTCTAGTTCTTCATATATTGTGAGTGGAGGCCTTGATAACACAGTTAACATCTGGGATCTGAAATCCAGAAAGGTGTACCGTAGCCTTAAGGTAAGTTTGTCTGAGGAAGAACAGTAGCTTTTATGACTTCCAGGTTTTGTTGCCAACCGTAAAAAAAAAATATGCTTTCTATAAGTCATGTATCTGTAGGATCAAGCTCATAGGTAGGAGCTAGCACACATATGTGTCTTGTTGAGGTTTGAATTCTGTACTTGCTATAAATAGAAAATTTAATTTAACAAGCATACTTAACTCAATGTCTTCAGAGTACAATTCTATAATTATGTTTAATAATTTTCAGAATAGGGTTCTTATTTTGCAAATTTGTATTGATATTCTCTGATGGGGATTTTTTCCAAGGGCAGCATTTCAGATAATTGCTGTTTCTGATATGTCAAACAAGAAAACACTTTTGTAGTTGCAGAATGCTGTAGTAGAACTCATGTTATGCAAAACTGGGACACGGTTCTCTCCTAACTGATCTAGTATGAATTCTCTAAAACCTTGTTATGATGTACAAAACTTGGGATGGTCTAGTATATTTCCATGATGCCTTCAGTAGATGATTTGCCCTCATTTAGGACCACTGTTAAAGAGGCTATAAAACTTTAACTTTGATTTATTCTTTTTTTTCTTGGACTCTTAAAGTTACAGTTTGAAACAAAACTAGTAAGTAGCTAATACAATACTTTAAATATATTTTTCTCTTTTTTGGGCTAGAGGTACTTGATTGTCTTCCCTACGTATTCAGAAAAACACAATTGCAAATTACTATGCTGAAAAGCTATTTGGTAAATATATGTGATAATATTAAAAGTGACAGAAGGGGAAGTTGACAGTAGTACATCAGATTAACAGAAAGTGTATTCAAATATCACATGCTTCTGGAAGACTTTGCTTTAAAAATAACATTAATGACACCTGTGGCAGATATCTCTATGGTTGTCTTATTAAAATATTGTATATACAGCATCATCTTTACTAACATATTAAAACAATCAGTGGTTAAAATATAATAGCTGATCTTCAGTATCTTCTGCTGTTTTCTGGGATATTCTGTAATAACTCTTAAATAATCTTTTAAAATGTTGCAGATGGTCAGAAAAAAACGTCAAGCTGAAGTTTTTCTGCAAAAGCACAAATTAGGAAGGAATATGGTTATCCTGAATGTGTTTAACCCTCTCCCTCTAACATCCCTCACCCACAGGATCATAAAGATGAAGTCACGTGTATTACATATAATTGGAATGATTGCTACATTGCTTCTGGATCTTTAAGTGGTGAAATTATCCTACACAGTGTTACCACCAATTTATCGAGTACTCCCTTTGGTTATGGCAGCCGTCAGGTAGGCTATCTGTATTAAGTTCCATTCAGGTATGAGGCTTTAATTCATAGTATTTAGTAATTGAAAATACATACCAAGACCTTTTAAGTTTCGTTAATCTGTTTCCTTTTAATTTTTAAGAGTGCACTTACGGAAAGGAGAAAACGGACCGTTGTGTGTATTTTAGCCTTAAATAATGGTAACATTGAAATACAGATTTCTCAAGTACCTTTGCTTATATACAGGTTACAGCAAATTTTACTTTGTAGACTCTGGTTGCTCAAGAACAAACTTCTACACATTATAGAACTGAACAAAAAACCAGTTGGCTTTACAAACCAAAGCAGGATTTCAATGCGCAACTCAATGTGTATTGTTGCAAAGAACAAAGACGGTGTAGCCTGGGTTTTGACTTACCCAAAGCAATCAGATTTACAACTCAACAGAGCGGTCTCTACAGTACGGGTGAATATAAGCCTGCATTTGGAAATAACAAATTTATTGAAGCTGGAGATTGAAATTGCACAGCTGCTCAAAGAGAAAAGCGATGAGACTTTTATATTACCTACTTAGGTGTTTAGGTGAGATTTTGGATAAGTAGTTTGAAGGAAAACTGTGCAAAAGACAAACACGAAGCATGTGTACTACGTATGGGTCTTGGCGGGGTCTTCCACTGCAGTTCCTTTTTGCAGGTCCAAAACATATCAGAGAATTAGTGGGTATCATTAGGGGAATTCCCTTGTTATAAGGGCATCTGCAGTAGTAAATAAGTTATGTTCTCCCATCAGAAGTTGCCGTGTGTGTTCTTAATGTGAATGTTGTCTTAGGCACTGACAAGTGTTTGTGTTCTAGGCATTCTTTTATTTTTTTACTGAGTCATTTTTACTGAGGTAGAAGCTGCCTAGGGGATGCAGAACTGTTACTTTGGCCCTAAACCTGACCTTTAATGTTGCAGGGAATTCTGAAGTTGTGACTTAATCATTTTCTGTTACTGCAACATCTTTTTCAGTTCTAGATTGCAGATACTGTGAAGTTAAATTTTTCTCCTGTCTAGCATGAACAATATTACTTGATGAAGAATCTTAAGACTTGTGGTATACTTCCTGTTGAAAAATCTCTGTTAAATTCAAACTATCTCTGCTCTTAGGTGCTGCAGTGTCTTTGATCCATCACCATAGTCTCAGACTTATATTGAAGCAAAATTGTACTTCATATTTGGTTTGATCTTAAAAATCCATCTATATAGTCAGCTCATTTTTTCTGATTTGATTGTTATGATCTTATGAAAAACCTGGATATGAGGCAGGAACTACAGGGATATCCATGGCTGGATTGCACAGCCAAGGTGAATATCCAGAGTGGGGACTATGTTGCTAGTTAATTGGAAAATGAAAAAATTCTTACGAGAATGATTTGCATCAACCTATTTGATATATTCAATGTTTTCCACCAAAAAGAGATTAGGAATAAGCAATGCAGTGAATAACTATTTTGGCAGATGAAATCAAGAGGCCTACTTTAAAGCTGAGTGACCTTTGAGATGGATAAAGATATTTGAAGTGTTAAATCAAAGTAATTGCAAGCACAGAGCGACTGTTCACTTTCTAAAGGGTCTATAATGTTTTCTAAAGGGGGGTAGTTATTTGATTGCAGCCTTAATTTAAAATGGAATCAAGCTATAATCGTGTAATGGGATGGCTACTTGGATGTTCCAGTTTATCAGCTTATATCCTAAAAATGATCTTTGCTGTTACGTGCAAAAATAGCTCTATTTTTGGTATTGGGTTTTAATTGGTACTTGTTGAGAATTGCAGGATTAATTGTGCGGTGAAGCAAATATCTGAAGACTTGTGTAATTCTGTTAAATTTAAGAAGCCTTTACTCGATTTATAGTTCAGTTTTCTAACAGTAAGCTTGAATAGATACACGCTGCTTGATCCTGGCACTAGCTGTCTGGCTTAGTAAGGGTCACCACTCCCCAGTAACTTTGTTTACAGTTGGGGAATGTGAGGTCAAACTAACCTTATAAAATTTAGCTTGTCTGTGTTTGATTCAGCATGATGGAATGTGGTTTCCTTGCCAGTTAATTTCTGATATTGTATGGACTCTACAAGTAGTAGAACAGCCCAAGGTTGCAGTGCTTTCTGTGACTTCAAACAATTTTCTTTTCATGTGAGTTTTGGCCTATATTCTATTAATTGCTTTTGATTTAGAAACACCTTTGTACTTTATTAGAGTTGAGTTCTTGCACAGAGTTGTTTGCAGATCCCATAATTTGTCTTTGCTGTTGGTATTCATTTAGACTACCAGATTCTTATCTGCTTGCTTTTGTGAGGATGAATTAAGGTTTGTTTCGAAACATACTGTTTGTTCAAGTCTTCACTGCCTGGTGCTGTTCTCCTAGCAACAGGATTTAGTTTAGTTGTTTGAACAGCTGGCTGATTTGTAAAGAAGTGTGATGAGTTCTGGTCACTCTGTATAGTGAAATAACTTTAAAAGCTGAAGTCTGTCAACTGTTTTTACATGTGCCTTCTCAGTTATAAAGCTCACTAAAGTATGAAAGAGATTAAGAAACTGTACTATCTTTAAATAAGGTAATTGGTGATGCTAGACTACTTTTGGTTTAGTTTTGGGCTTTTTACTTGTTTTCCAGCGGTAGAAATACCTTAAGTGTAACAAGTCCTTCTTAGCAATGGACCAACCATTTTCTGAAGCACGCTGTTCTTTGTTTGGCTGTCTTTCTGTGAAGCTTAAAAATAAAAAGTACTTTTATTTTCTACAGAAAATGTACTCCAATCACAGCTAAGGCAAAAAGATGCATATGGCTTTTTGTGCTACATTGACTGGTAAAATGTTCAAAAGAGGACTTCATTTTCTCTTTGTGGGTTCAGCACCTTGTTCTAAACGTGTTTCTGGTAGTTCTGCATGTGCAGAATTTCCAGAGAACATCAGGAGTTCTACTTACTAAGATGCAGTGAAACTTGCCTTTTTTTTTCTTTTTTTTTTTTTCCCCCCAGTCTTGACAGGTTAGTTCCAAAACATGTCTCTTTCCAAATAATTGTATCGTTCCTAATAATCTTGAAATGATTTTAGTATTAGTGACTAAAATCATTAGAAAAAGATGACCCCTTCCCACTTCCATTTAGACATTTACTTAAGCGTATTTGAGTTTGCCCTAGTGAACAGCTATGCTGACTTAAAATAAAGCAGGTCTCTTAAATATCCCCCTAGATCCAATTCAGATAAGATACTTAGGCTTGCCAAGCCAGGTTTTTCCCAATGAAACATGTCCCACACCTTTGCAATTTGAGTCTATGGATGAAATTGTAACCTGTAAAAGTTCTTGGGTTTCTTTTCAGAACCGTGCCAATGTTTAACTTGTCTCCCATATCCTTAGCTGTTTTTTCTCTTTTAACTAATAAACCTTGCAGTGAAACCGTATGGATTGTGTGCCCTTTTTAGGCTTGGGTTTCCTATTGCTGGCAGTACAAAGGCCAAGGAACTAACTATTGGGGCTATTTTCACCTAGGCTGAGTTGGAGGCCCTGGTGTTCCAAGTCCAAGTAACAGAACTCTTGTTTCTAATTTCTAACTTTAAAAAAAAAAAAAAAAAAAAAAAAAGGGACAGGAGATGACAAATGAGTTCAGCCTCTTTGGGGAAAAACTTGACTAGGAGTGTACTGAAGTTCTATGTGACTTCATCATGCCATGTAAAAATCAACATTTTTTTTTAAAGACTATTTGCTGGGTGAAGACTGTGACTATGTGTTAGTTTCTTGTCACTAAGATAGACAAAACCATTATAAAGTATAAGAAATAAGATAAAGAAACATGTATTGAAATCAAAAATAGACGGTAGAATTTGATCTAGAATAGTATGTGTTGACAGCTCAAAAGTAGTTTACGTAATTGGGATTGGCAGAGGTACAGAGGGGTTAGAAGTAGGTAAGTCTGGTAAAGAGAAAAGAAAGGAACTGAAGAAAATAGACTCTGGTTAAATAACACCATAAAAGGATAACAATTAAACAATAAAGTTAAATTCAGTTACATTTTCTCTGAACACGCAGTTGATTATGATGATTTTTGATTTTAGCATCCTTGGAATCCATGTAATCAGAGGGAGAAGGTTGGAAAAGTAACTTGAGAATTACAGCAAAAGGAATATTATAAAGGAGATAAGTCTCTTCCAGTTAGTTAAAACCAAAACCTATGGCTAGCATCAGGTTATCCTCGATCTGTCTCGTGTGGTGGGTGGGGAGGGGTCCCTTTTACCTTTTTCAGAACTTCTGTATCAAACGCTTTGATACATATGGTGTAGGACTAAATATCTCAAAAACCTGATCAAGTGTAATAGTTCATCTCTTCCTGTACAAGCAGTCCCATTCCTTTGCAGCACTGAGTCACAAAAAAAGATATTTTTCTGTGTATATTTGTCAGCTTTCATAGTGGCTGTATGTGTGTTCTAACTTCACTCCAGCGAACTCTGGATAGCATGTTGGTTTTTTGTTTGCTGTGTCATAAAATTTATCTAGAGTTGAGTCAATATTTTAAAGATAAAGACGGAACACTATTTCATGAAGCCTATTATTCTAAAATGCAGTTTCTGATTTGCTCTTTGGTTATGGAAGGGGTGGGAAATGAGGAAAACGTAGCTAAGGATTATTTTAAGTGATGTAGTTTGACCACCTGCATCTTGATGCATTCCTGTATGAGGCTTGGTTGTCTGCTTTTTCTGACTGTGCTGAGCTTAAAGCTGTGGGGTTTTTTTACCCAGATATTTCTCAGATAAAGTTCTTTGGGTTTGGGTTTTGTTGGTTTTTTTTTTTTTGAAAACTTCAAGTTAAGTGACTCATTTCTGGGAGGAGAAATGTTTTGGTTTTGTCTTGTCAAGCAGCCTTTCAGAAACAAGGTGCTTTCATGCCTTCAGCTGCCTGGGCAAGAGTTTGAAACTTGGACATGTAACATACTGTCAGGGATGCCGATGTGATGCATTTGACTGTCTCGTAAAAGCGCGCACAAATTTAAGCGCCTCTGTTCCTTGAGACCGATCTAGCAATTGCATTGTTACAACTGAAGTTTGTTGCTAACCTAATTCAGTGAAAGTGAGGAGGGAATAGGAGCTTCCTTCATCAGCAACCTGAAATTAAACTCTTAAAGTTGCTCTGAGGAAACACCACGACTTCAATGCGAAGTGGGGAACAGAGGTAATATGGGCAAAGTACGTATAGGAAGGAAAGTGGAGAACTTGCCCTGGGCCTGTGAGATTAGGAGGAAAAATGAGAAAAGGAAACGGGAAACTTAGTAGGACAGCAAGGGAGGTTTGAGGAGAGCTAGGAGAAAGTAATCTTGGTAGTCAGGAGGACAGAGGAGGGAGAAAATGGAGCATGAGCAGATGGGCAGTAAGGAAGGTATGCGGACGTGAAGAATGGAGACCCCTGTGAGGGACAGGCACGTTTCCCTGTAGCTCATGTATATGATTGAAGCTGTTAGTCCCGAGTCTCTCAATACTTCTTTCTTTATTGTAAATAAACTGAAAAAACGCTGTAAAAATGTCTCCATGTCCAGTAGAGGACCATATTAATTATTAACAGTCATCTTCTGTCCTATTTGAGTATGCAGTTGAGGGTGCCATTTCTTTGTGGAGCAATTGGGCTTCCAGTGAGACATGCAATACAAATGCTGGAAATCATGTTGGAGGCATATGAACTAATGCATATCTCCATTAAAAAGAAGGTAAAGAGAAAAATGAGATAAAATCCAGTACAGTTCATTGCAATCTGGTCTATACTAGAATAATATAATAGCTTTTTGAGAGCATTTTCAGACAAATAAAACATAATGGCTCTCATCTGTCTGGGCTTGAGTAAAGCACTTGATTTGGTGCCTTGTGAGAAAATATTAGAGAGGATAGAGGTTAGAAAGGAATTGAGGATGGGTAAGAAACTGGCTACCTACTGTCTTCTTTCTGATAGTATTGAAAGAAAATACTGGTTTGGGTTATCAGTAGCTAATCTTGTTTAGTATTTTCAGTAACAGTTATGACATGAGAAGTAGACCTATGATGAGACACGGTTGGAATGTATTGCCCATAAAAGAGGATTGTGTCAGTATCCAAAAAAGATTGAAATAATAGACATGGGAATAACTATGACAGTATAGAAATCAAGGTACCAGACTTAGGTCACAACAGAGGCTTTTCTTTTTACAGTAGGATTTGAAAATTCCCAAGGGAAAGAAGGACTTGGACTTCTTGATCATAAAATGGCAACGACCAACCAAAATAGATTGGATCACAAAAAAGAAAATGCGATCTAGGATATGTCAGCATGAGTATTTACAGTACAAAACAGAGGAGGCGTTACTGTCTTAGCAAAGGCTGTAGCAGAATGTTTTGAGGCTCATACAAGATTTAGGTTGTCCGTGTTCAATAACGATTCAAACTGACAGAGCGGCAAAGAAAGTGTGATGGCACTGAAAAACCAGTCTTAGGAGACTGAGTCTCACTTATTGTTTATAGCAAAATAAAACCTGAAAGACGGTGAGGTGGGTGTGTATTGAAACAAGGAAAAGCAGCACTGGGGAGTGAGGAAACAATTTGAGTGTAAGGGTGTTATTGTCACAGGAGTGAATTGGTGCAAATGGCTCATATAAAATAAAATTAATCTGGAGATCGAGTATTGTCATTTAGTATTAGAGCAGTGAGGTTCTGAAACATCCTCTGAAGAAATATGATGGGAACAAAATACTCAGTTGCTTCTGACAGGCAAGTTAAGTTACTGTATTACATGCTTCTGCGATAACAAGGCTGCAAGTGATAAACTAGGCGTATTATCCTCTTCTGTGGCCCTAGCTTACAGGGTGAAGTCTGTTCTTCTGCAGGACCTACGTACTTGCATAACTGTGGAGTCTGCGTGTCTTACCAAATCGGCTTATATCCAAGTACTTCAAATCAGTGGAGGGGATTTCAGTTTAACATTCTTGGCAGGAGACCAATCAATGAAATAATGTAGCTTTTCACTCCTTTATTTTTAGCTGTGGTGTGGTGTGTGATGGTTTGTGGTGGTGTGTGGTTTGTTTTTTTTTTATTTTTAGTGCGTGCAATGGCATGGTAACTGGCTGAAAAAATCAAGAAACTTTTCTAGACGTTTTCTTTTTTTCCTATCCTTCATTTTGCTAATCAGCTCGTATGGTACCCCATACTGGTATACACAAAAAAAAGTCTGGCCCCCGACAGCAAAAATGGCATTGTAATGCAAAATGAACATTTTTGCTTTGTATTTTTTAGAGTGGTGAGCCTTTGTAAACTACTATAACTTAATGTAGCATCTGTATTCCTAATGTGTTTGTGTGTTTATAAAATAATTTAATAGTCTAATAGCGTTTAATAGTCATATTACAATTCATTTTTATGTCTTTTTTACAGCCTATTCGACACTTGAAGTATTCATCCTTTAAGAAATCCTTGCTAGGCAGTGTTTCTGACAGTGGAAATGTAACTCTGTGGGATGTAAATAGCCAGAGCCCATATCATAATTTTGAAAATACTCATAAAGCACCAGCTTCGGAAATCTGCTTTTCTCCAGTCAATAAGCTGCTGCTTGTAACTGTAGGTTTGGATAAAAGAATTATTCTCTATGACACTTCAAGTAAAAAGTGAGTATATTAAAGACCTGTGATTTTGTAGGATCCTTATTGGGTTTTTATAAACTGAAAAAGCGTGCCTAACTATGACATGAAATACTTAATTTAGACCCAGTTCAGAACGGCTGAAGTGGTTGATATACCGCTACTGGAGAATGTCCCCCATAGTCCATTTTGCTTTTTTATTTAAAAAATCCCGACCACAACAATAAAAAAACCCCAAGGCATGTGGGGACTAATTGAGGCGCTACGTATGAGCGACCGCTCCCAAGTGTTTGCGTATGGGCTTTTCTTGTCGATACAGAGCATTTGGCTTCTATGAGGGGCACTACAGCCTGTGAGGACCTGCAGCCACCTGAGCTCAGCATACCTGCTTTTCTAGTTTAAGACACAAGACATAACTGCGGTGCACAGAGTTGCTGAGATGGGGAGCCTTAAATATGGGAGAATATTGGTCGAAAAAGCAGGAAGTGTGGGGCATAGGTGATGGGGCTGTGTAGTAAGGGGGTAAGACGGCGAGTGGGGTGATGGGACTGTGGTTCTGGGGTGTGTTGTGCTTTCCCTCTGGCTGAATAAAAGCAGGAGTCTGGCGCTGGTTTGGAGGAGTGTAGTAGAAGGATGCAAACTAGGACCTGAAGTTCTTCCTAGATTTATGGGAAGGTTAGAGTTGATAGGCTTGGGAAGTTAGAGGGTGTATGTGGTATGATTGCTGCTGGAAATGGTGATACCAGTAAATAATGTTGGTGTCAAAATTGCTGTTATGAAGGCAATTTGATCGTGGCCTGTTGAAATCTTTTGGGCCGTATGCAGTCTTTAATATGTTAAGCGTGAACACTTAGGTATAAGCCTAATCTGTTGTTCTGTGAGATATTTCACTGAATCTGCTTGGCACTGGGGAAGTGGAACTACTGACCTGTAGCTGAATTATGAAAGCTTTTATAGTTTTTTTTAGATGGTATATTTTGAAAAGTCTAACTTTTGAACTCTAAAAGCTTCTTTATCCTGTCCTTTCTCCTGTTTGAAGGTTACTGACAACAATAGTAGCTGATTTTCCTCTGACAACAGTAGACTTCATGCCTGATGGTACTACTTTGGCTATAGGATGTTCCCGGGGAAAAATCTGCCAGTATGACTTAAGACAACTGACATCACCAGTGAAAACAGTTACAGCTCACAAAGGCTGTGTGAAATGCATACGTCTTCAGTCCAGTAGCACTTTTTCCAAGGTAAAAAAGCTTTCTGTTTTATTGCTCAAATTGCAGATTAATGAAAGCAAAGCGTAAGTTCAAGTTCTAAAAAAATGTTAGCATTCAATTTCTAAGCATTATAGATGCCAACAAAAGTGGTTCATAGCAACACAGAAATTATAAACTGCTCCGCCGTAAGTGCCATTTCAGGGGGTTTTAATGTGGAATTGCCCCCACTCCTAGCCTCAGTGCAGAAATGATTGAAACTTAAGTATTAAATTTCCTGGTGTGGATATGCTGCCATTACAGATCAGTTTGTGGTGTGGCACCTTATGTTCATTTGTAGGCAGCAGCAGCAAGGTCTGTAATGACGAACACACACAGCTGCCCATCTTGAGGTATTTTGCATGGTCTTATATATGGTCTTTTGCAGGCACATATAAACATTGGAAAAGTTGATTAAATAATAGAGAAGGCTTACGAGGTTCTTCCAAGACTGAATTAGGCTCTACTGTATCCAGAAGCCCTACATGTCCATTCAGTGGAGACAGAGGGAAGCTTTGAAGTGGATTCTTTTTCACTCTGAGACTTTCCTCCTCTTCTAGCACACTTGCTGCTGGTGGTTGACTGTTCCTTTGCAATTTGGAGTCCCTAATAATGTAACCTCTTATTTTTCCTATGGCTAAGCCTAGGATCAGAATTGGCTCGTGCCAGGTCACTCCGTTGTTACCTTAAGTTCTGTTGCTATTCTTTTGCAGGTCCATACAAATATATATGTATTCATATAATAGTACAAATGTTTTCCATGTTCTTTGAAGTTGCATTTTTTTTTATATTTGTAAAGACATATCTCCTAGGCAACCTTTGCAACTTAAACTGATTTTTTTTTTTATTATTTTTTAGTATTTTGAAGCAGAAAGAATACTGGCTTATATTTTTACTATTATCTGAAAGAATTAAAGCTTCTTTTGATTTCTTCTATTTTTATCTTCAGTCTAACCTTACAGGTTCTTCAAATAAACCTGTATCCAAAAGAGTAGAAGTCAAAGCTGGTAGTAATCTTGGAGGATTTCAAAATACTGGCATCAAAAACATTGCCTCTCAAGCATCAGCAACAGTTGCATCTCATCTGACATTGCCAAATGAGAATAAGGGAGGAGAGGTTCTTCAGGAGAAAACAGGTAGTGTATTCTTCCTACTCTTATAATCATATTTGGCACAATGTAGAAGATGAAAGGAATATTTCATGTCTTGAGCATTACAGTATAAAAATTTCACTGAGGGAAGGGCATTTGTTTGGAAGAACTGTGTGTATGTGCGTGCACATCTGCAACTTCTTTTCCCTGCCCTACTGCATTAGACATACTATGAGACTGTGGGAAGTGAATTAGGTCCTACTACAAGCTGTAGACACATGGAGGCTAAAATTTTGGACTTCAAGTAAAAGTTACCTTTAAACTTTAAAGGAGAAAACTCCGTGGTGATACTGTGGGGGCTGTCTCTTGCATTCTGACCTGTGGATTATCCTTATACACATAGTTTATTTTCTGACGCAGTGTCTGTATGGAATGCAGAGTTAATGGTTTGTAATTCTGTTAATAAACAGGAGTAACAGACCTCATCTAAAAAAACAACCAAACAAAACACAAAAAAAACCCCCTAGTCCAAAAACCCAAGTGAGAACTGAACTGTATTTTTGTGTGAGGCATGATTCCAACATCACATGGTAGGAATGATGTTAAATATAGTTGCAAGTATGATTAGTTGTATAACTGTACTTGCTATTTATGTTTCTGAAATTAACAAGTTCTTTATAATAATTCTGAGCATTATTCTAAAATTCTGCCACTGTGTGAAATGTACTCTTAATTTTATCTAATTCAAGAGTACTGAAAATTCGGTCAAATCAGTAACATTGTTAGTTTGATTCTTGAAAAAAAAAATCCTCAAGTCATTTTAATGCAACAACACTTCTTCCCTCCCTTTTTAAAGAGGGAGAAATACATTTAGCAACAGTAATTAGGCAATAAGCCACTGCAGTCCATAGGGATGTTTAGTAATGACCTCCCTTGGGTATTCAGTGAAGTACAAGGTGAAGCAGAATGCTTCCTATGTATGCAGAAAGTGTTGCTAATCAACATTACTGAATGGTGTGGAAAATTTTATTTCAGTTAAAATATGTGATTTATTATCTTTATTTGAAGATGTAATGGCTGTTACCCCTTAAACAGGAGCATGCATAATAAATAAATGTTTTAAGAAAATAAAGTCTTACCAAGTAAAACAAATATTTTTCATTAAACTAAGCGTTCACTTTAGAAGTAAAGACCTCTGTATACTTCAGAAGATACAGTCTTTAAACTTAGAAATGGGAATGGATGAGGGACCACAGTCTTCATTTGTTCTGTGAAAACTCTTCTAGACCCTGATTATGGGGCTTAACTTTGGAGAAATAAGGGGCATTCAGTAAAGTGATCTGATAGCATATTTAAAACAACAAAACATCTGTTCATACAGCTTATAAATGGGCTGGGGCTTTTTGTCACAGGTATTTTCAAGTACAAAAGTATAAATGAAGTCAGAGTGTGATGAGAAGTTTGGGCGTACTTTGAGCTGCCTTCCCATAAACTTCTTTTTAACAGCCATCCTCTGGTTTAGGTACTTGCTACATTTAGATTACTGGCAATGGTTAAAATATGCAAAAGACATTTTGCTCTATTTTATATTATGCTTCTTCCATGTAGATCCTCTGTAGATTCTGGCACACGTTGATACTGCACTTCTAGTTTGACTCAGTATGACAAGTATTTACTTAGTTAACAAGCAGTGCAATGCTATGTATGTGTCACAACTGACACATTGGAAGGAGTGGAAAATGTGATATATTAATACATTTAAAAGTGAAATCTTAAACCTGACTCAGGTTCCAGTTTATGTAAATACTTGGACGTGATCAATTGTAGTCATCCACACTCTCACATTTGGATCACTTGAAGTAACCCCACGTAGAGAAGTAGTTACAGGTTTTATGAACGGTGGTTTGTTTTGTTTGTTTGGTTTTTTTTTTAAATTAAAGCAGGTACAAACTAAAGCTTTTGTATGTACAGGTGATTTATTTATAGGAGATTTATTTATGTATTGCAGAGCACTAATGCTCTTTGCCTAGGTCTTAACTTATACAAACAAAACCTATGCACTTTTAGAGTTAGGAGTTCAGTGAGGGAAGAATAGCGGCTTGCTTACAGTCCTGGTCTGGTTTTCAAATATACTAAATTGTGAAAGTTATTTAGGTGGTTATCTTAGCAGTTCAATTCACCTTTTCCATGCATTCTTCATCTAAAAACAGTAGTTTGAATAATTACTGGGGTTTTTTTGAAGTTAAGATGCACTTCCATTCTTCCAACAACTGTCCCTGCTACCATGCATAAAAAAAGCTAACTTTTTTCTCCTGGATCGAGTCAGGGATGAGGCTTGAGGGTGGAGTGGGGAGAGGTCTAGGAGCAAGTTTTTCGTCTGCAACTGTTACCCCACTCTGATTTCTTAATAGAAATAAGCAGTGAATATCCTAACATCAGGTAAGCTTTAAAGTAGATGTTTCATAGAATTTTCCTTAGAATGCTTAATGGCCCCAGTGAAGCAGATTTATCTTCTTGCAGAATAGATTTAAATGTTGATCATCTGAATGTGGTTACTTTCTTAGCAGAAGGTGTGTTCACTAGTTTTCATTTCCCCTAATACACCATAAGTACATGATAGATGCAGCAAAGATTTATTTGAAAATGAGTGCATTCTCCAGTATGACGACTCTGCTTTTTAAAAAGAGGAAAGGAATCCAACTGTATCTTACTTTTGTTAATAAGCATCTTAGCATTTAGTTATATTCACCTGCATTGACAGCCCAAACGAGGAAGTTAAAGTTGACTGGAATCTGTAGAAGGTTCTAAAGTGTTTGCTGGACTTACCAGGCATCATGCTTGCTGTGAGATTGTTTAGGGATAACATATGTTGTTTTGGAAAACGTCAATTACTAACTGAATGTTACTGTCCTTTTAAGGCTTTCCCCATAGTTGCAGCTTGGATGTGATTCCATCTAAAGAAACGGATCACGGGAAAAGTGCCGATTTAAAGAATTTTGATGATTTGGGTCGAAGTAGTTTAGGAGATGTGTTTTCTCCAGTCAGAGATGGTAAGCTGCTAATACTAAAATTTGTAAAGCATCGTTTGTCTGCATATAGCATGACATTTTGACATTTGTATGCTACTGACCACTGTACCTACTTGGTATTTTGATTTGTCTTTGATTATGATCTCAGTGCAATGATATGAATATTGATGTAGATTTCATTTAATAAACAATTTGTTTATGTTCGTGTACTTTGTAGATATTATCGCAAGTAAAGCAAATGAAGATCCTCAAGGAAAAAGAGATGGTAAATACACTTTGAGTATATTTTTCTTTGTCAGTGGTGGGCCTTTGGAGGCCTACGCTGGTTCTTACGTGCTAATTTTAGTGTAATGAAAGCAGACACTGAAACAAACGAACTTTTATGGAAATTGTCTAACACGTTGAAGTGTTAAGACACAACATGGTAACAGGAAATCAGAGTATGGTCCTAAAGTGATTTTGTTTTTCCTTTATGCAATTTATAGTGATATATGGAGGCTTTTCATGCTTTATTACTTTCATAAGGACAGTGACAGCGTAAGTTGGATTTAAGGGTTTAGTTTTTGTGGATTGCATTTTTGGGTGATTTTTTGTTTGTTTGTTTATTTGTTTTGTGTGGGTATGCAGGCATTTTACTTGTGGGTTTGATTTGGGGGGTGTGTGTTTGTTGACCTGTGTGCTTCACCCTTCCATTTCCTTTTTAGGTCCAGATTTTCAGTCGTACCTTTTGGGTTTGGATTTTCTCCCACAGCTCACCACTGCCTTACCAGTGAAAAGAAACCCAGTGGGCAGTAGTGCACAAGGGATGCAGTCTAGCCCATTGCATGTGCTTCTGGGATCTCCAGTTAAAGAAGAGGAAGAACATCCAGAGACTGATGCTAAGAAAATAAATCTTGGAAAACAAGAACCTAAAGAAGTCCTAAAGCAGGTATGCTATACTAATTCTTGTTAGGAGTGGTCTTTTTAAAATCTTGGCAGAATACTACTACTTGAAGGAAAAATCCTTAATATCATCCCAGCGAGTCTTATTTTGCAGCTCTGTTCACACTGTTGGCACAAATCTGTAAAATGTTGTTCAGTTTAAGCGTGTTGGCCTTCAGCAATGCAAGATAAACGTATGTTTCTCTTTAAATAAGTCATAATTAGGTCACAAAAGTTCACATGAAATAAAACTGGACTAGCCTGAAGAATATCTTGATTTTTCTAGAAAATCAAGAATAATAATTAGTTGGTTGCACCAGTATGAATG